GTTGACAGTCGCAAACGCCGATGATGTAGAAGTCTGAGGCAAATCGGAAATGGTCGGCGTCGTCGCCGCTGTCCCTAGAACCAAGTCTTCGCTTCTCGGTGGCGATTCGCTGGGCAATGAGAGATCTTTCCTCCTAACCGTAGGTTTCTTGGTGGGTCTCATGCGATTGGTAAGTCCGGGATTGTCGATAACAGCTGGCGGTAACATCTTTTGACCAGGTATAACGTTATTCGCATGCGAACCAGCATCATTTTGTAAAAGATTCACAAGCAACGGACTGGACAGGGCGACCTGATTCCCGCTACCGTTCGAACTCCCTGCCAAATTGGTACTGTTGCTTGGTGACAGACTAGATGTTGTAGCAATCGTCGTAGGTTTGTACTGATTCGTTAACTGTCCAACAGTAACGACTGGTTGTGTTGTCGTATGACCGGTTGTCAATGCCGTAACTGTCGCCAAATTTTCTTGAGATGGATACGGTGGTGGCGGTTGTGCATGGTGCTTGAACTGCATTGTATTCTTGATGGTTGCGGACTGCGATTCACGATTGTGTATTGCTTGGGCAGCGTGTGTCATACTGGCAAATGGGAAAGGACCATTGTAGTTGTTTCTGGGCGATGCACTAGGATTGATTACTTGCTGGTTTCCGGAAACGCCAGTGTTGCCCGCTGACGTGGACTGTGCCGATTTCGCAAGAAACGGTGGAATAGGATCACAGTCTGTGGGCGCGACTACATTCGGAGAACGAAACTGAGGAGCTTTCTCTGATGATGTTCCTGAAACAGAAAGAAATTTATATAACATGTGTTATTCAATTCGTTGTGTACATGTTTTGTTTTTTTAGATCTTCTATAACTCGTAAGAACTTACCAGCTGCTATTATCTGAGCAACATTATGTAGCGTCGACGAGATGCTAGTGGCATTGCTGGGACCAGGCAAAGCCGTTGAAGGGTTACTGTCAGCAGCAGCTGTATTACTAGTAGCATCTCCTTGTGATTTTGCTCCACCATCTTGCGTAGTTCCAGAATGTAACACAATTTCTTGCGCGTCTCCACCGAAGCGACTGGCTATCCTTAAAGATATTACCTGCAAAAAATGTTTTATTTAATAGTCATTCGTTTTTTCTTTACAGGAATTTTTAAAATATGGTATATTATTAAAATTACTGTGTGTGTGTGTGTGTGTAAATCTATAAAATCCAATTGGCTGTACAAATTACCTGATCTCCTTCGACTTGTACTGAGAGTATGCCAAGTTGTGTAAGTGTTGGAGAACCCTGAGCTGCTAACTCTCGAAGCCGCAAAGCGGCTTCTCTGGGTATCGAAAATGTTACTCTGACTGAATTCCATGGTTCTATTTTATTTACTCTCAGACCATCTCCTTTTTCTTTATATTGTATATTGTTTACTTATTAATAATCATTATATTTATACAAAAAATATTATTAACATTAATAATTATATAATATTATATATAATACGGAATTAAATTATTTACTTTTACAAAGTAAAGTATTGAGATGACCAACAATAATTTCAAACTTTCGAGGGAACTCGGGATCTCCAAGATCACCCTCACAGGTTACCACCGTCTCAATCAGATCACCATCACTATCTGCCGCCATGACTGTGAAATTCATTATTGATAATGTCTTAATAAAACAGACAAAAAATAAAATTTTATCTTTACAATAATGACAATGTTATTTTTTATATTTTTTATTAAATTTTTTGAAATAATAATGATGAATGTTAATAGTAGTAATATAAAAATTAAATCTCAAAAGTTTAAAAAAAGTTTTAAAAAGAAAGCTTAAAGACATTATTAAATAAAAATTTAAGAAATATTCATCTCATTAAAAAAAAAATAGAAATGTGTATTTTTTAATTAATTTTTTTTAAGTATAACTAAAATAAATTATTTTGAAATAAATTGTTTGAATTAAAAAAAATATATAATAATATTTAATAAAATAATAATTAAATCATAATAATCATCTAATATATTTATTTGATATAACATATATAACATAAAAAAATATAATTACAGAAATTACGAATATTTATACAATAATAAAATACGTACCAACCACAAATCACATAACTACCCAGAGAGTGTAGAAACGCCTCAGGGTATTGCTTTAATATGTGTGTGATGACGAGATGTCGTGTGTCAGTTGTACACCGACAGCCCCAAATCACACCAGTTCTACTAATCTTGTTTACTGTCAAACAATTTAGAGATTTGAATAATTAGACCACATAGAGAGCAAATATTATTAAATTATGTTGTTACTTAACACTATACATGTAAATAAATTAATATCATTGAACAACATTGCATTTCATGCATGTACGTTAACAAAATATGTGATAATTTGCGCAATAAAGACAATAATTTACATACGAAAGTCTTAGCAGCGTGTATGTATTCAAACATATATTAATAGGTCTGTTTTCTATAACTAAACTGTACATGAGTGTACACTTTTAGAACTTGAAGTGAAATAAGTATATGTTTGATTTAGCAAAACAATTACATGAGAAAGAAAGTTCTAGGTAGTCTCATATGACAAATGTAATGTTAGTCTCACATAAGCAAAAAAGACATTTTTATAAAGTAGTAACACATACACGCACACGCGTGCGCGCGCGCACAAACACGCGTAAACGCGCGCGCGTGCGCGCGCGCATGCACACACACACGCACGCACACATACAGAGCAACTGTGGCAGATACACTTTGCATTTCAACTTAAAGATATTATAAAAATAAAAAATTCTAATTAGATACACATAAATGTGTGTCAAATATATAAAATAAATTAAAAACAATGCAAAACCTCTATTTTTTTTCGATTGATACTTATGGCAGATATAGGCCTGTTTTTTTTGTAGCTAAACTAGTAGTTTTTTTTATAGCTAAACAAGTAGTACTTTTGTACTTTTAAATAGATTTGAAATAGGTTTGACAACTTGGTGACAGCGAGAAGTTCTATTATAGCCTAGTGTAGCAATAAAAAATAAACCCCATCCTCATGACAGGTGAAAAGAAAAAAAAAACTATTCCTTGGCACATATCATGTGGCCAGTATATATACATCATGCATACATACATATGTACATACATACACACACATATACACACATCTATGCAATATCATTTTTAATATTTAAATGGCAATTAAATGGTATTTCGCGTTATGATTCCAGTTTTATAAATTTTATGGAGGAACCAAATGCGAGGAGGGGGGGAGAAAAGTTTCCAGACGAAGATTATGTATCAAGCAGAGATAATTAATTCAATGACAATGACAGAGAGAGAAAGAGAGAGAGAGAGAGAGAGAGAGAAAAAGAGAGTGTGTCGTTGATCGGGAAAAGCCGTATTATTCGCCGTAGAATCGATAGGAGGTTGGCCGCGCGAGAACGGCGAGAAAATGACAAAAACACACACGGACACATATACACACACGTATACGGGCGCATAAACAAAAAGTGAGGCCCGCTAGGCGTTACTAGGTTATAATTCGTGCTCGATTTCCGGGAGGCACGGGCGATTAGCGCGGGGAGTGAACTCCTTGTCGAGCGGGGCCCGGCCCCGCCGTCGTCCTGGCGGTCGTTACGCGCGCCACACGCACCCCGCGGGGACGTGGCCCGTCTAAGCCGTGCGTGTGTACGGGGCAATTAAAATCCTCTGGTGCACGAGCGGCCGCGGGGGCACCGTGCGCGCGAGTAACGTCGCGAAATAGGTTATAGAGCGCATTTTTTCGACTGGGCGCGAAACGCGGACGGGCGGATCGACGGGGATCGACGATTACGCGACGCGAGACGCGCGTCCCGACGCTCGCCGTAATGATTTTCGACGAAATACGGCATCCAGACCGTCGGGACATCGGGGGGCCACCATTTTGTCCGTCGGGGGAGGTGTACGTGAAGTGGGCTCAAGCATGCTCAAGATAGCCCGTCAAAAGTCGGGAATTATTTCTCTTCCTGGGGCCCCACGTCCTCGGACGTGGACGTAATCGCACGGCGGACAATACGCGGCTGGGCACGGGGAACGTATCCGCGCCCGCCGACGGCCGCGGCTCGGCCAGCGAGCCTCACTCCAGTCGTCGCGCAGCGCCGATTTGATACCGTACGAACACAGGAAAATTTCAACGTTACCCCATTTCTTTCCGACACTGTCCGGGATTTCACGCGTCCGTACAGCACGGAGGCACACCGCCCGGGCACTGGTCTTAACCTAAAACACACGGCGCGGGCCCTACTTCACACTCGGCACACAGCGCGCGGCAGGGATCGCGAAAAAACTCGACATAATCGCTAATATAAAGAGACAAGTCATAAAACGCCATGAACAATAACAAGGTGCCGCCATTTGCAATGCGAGCAACTGACATGCGCAAATCAATCGCGCGGAGCATGCTGGGTACTTTTCGGGACGGGGCGCCATCTTGGTCAAGATGTATATACATGTCCCCTAACCTCGAATCCTCGCGTCCCGATAACGACGCTCGCGGCGCTCCGTCGCTTCCGGATGTCCTGCGTTCTCTTCCAAAGACGCGAGACGTCATCGGAAACTAAATTGCTACTCTTGTTATATCAATGCTTGTTCTTTCCATGCGATATTTGCGCGTATCGAGCGTGCAAAATTCGTACCTTTTATACTAATTAGATTTAAAAATGTTTAACCATCAAGGCTGTTGCAAAGCTGCAATTTAAATTGAATGATAAATTTGAATATTGAATATGTATCGCTACGCATAGCCAAGTCAGATACATAAATGTTACGAGAAAAATTGCAATTGCTTATTAAATACATCTACAAAGCCGATTGTGTAATCGACAAGACGATCTTCGACACAAAAACGTATATTTTTTACATCATAATTATTTTATGCAACAAATATGGACAATCCGAAATACAAATTTAACGATTAACTAAATCGATTACGTAGATTAATGTGCAGTCAACAAGAAACTTAGTATACTTAATACTATGTAGAATTTATTTATTATACATATAGATATAATGTGTAATTCCGAAAAAGACTATCTTGTTTTCGCTCTCTCTCAAGCTTTTCTTCTATCATTTGTACACATAAATTTACTTCTGTTCAATATTATAAGACTGCATGAGACCAGCCTCATTCATTATCTTTAGCTGTTTCTCTGCATCGTAGGTTCTGCAAAACAACAAAATTAAAAACTTACTTGTGTCCATTTCTATCAACGTAGACTAACTTTAATCTGGATTCAATTCTTCATCTTTTTCTAATTCTTAGGATTAGAAAAAGATGAGAAATAAGTTGAACCGAAATTAAAGTTAAGTCTTCAGTGGCGAAAAACAACCAACCTCTATCAATGTAGATTAATTTTAATTTGAGTTTGTTTCATTTTTTTTATTCGTTTGTAGTTCTAAGAATTACATTAAGTTCCATCAATGTAAAAGATTGACATTATTTCAGTTTAACTTATTGTTTATTTTTTTCAAATTTTTAGAATTAGAAAAAGATAAAGAGTAAATTAAACCGAACTTAAAGTTAATTTTCATTGATAGAAATGAACATTAGACCCGTTATATAATATGAATTAATGTATATTAATATAAATTAATATGGTTAATATAAAAAAATTATAAAAAAAAATATATATGTATTTAGAAAAAAGTAAAAAGCAAATTAATCTCTCTTAAAATTAACCTTTATTTCAGATTGATTTACTTTCTAATTCTTAGAACTAGCAGCTAAAAAGTAAGTTAAACCAAGATTAGAATTAATCTACATTGGTAGAAGTGGACATTAGAGACCTTAAATATAAAGTGAAGATTATGTACAAATGCAATAGTCTGGCATTAGAATTATGAGACTAGAATAGGTAAAGGCAGTATTTTAAAGACATTTGTACATACTTGTAAAATTCAGCATATTTCCGTTTTCTCTTATCGACAACAAAAATCTTATACGCCACCCCTGCACTGATGCTAACTACCATCATTACTACAAGATTCTTTTTGATCTGTGACGTGAGGAGACCACGAAGTTGTGGTTTTGCTATTGGTGTAGACATCTGAAATCCACAAAACTGTTATTACAAAATTTTTGCTTACAAAACTTATTCATCCATTTATAGACAAATGCTACTAACTAGAATTTTTAATTAGAGAATTTGATTTTCAGATTTAAGTAACAAACATTTGTGATAAATTTGATTCACCCTACTGGATTAGTGCATATTAAAAGCTGCTTTATATAAAGTATCTAAATGCAATAGCGTAAAACAATTAACTTTGTTAATGAAATAATACATGTATATTCTGTTAAATAACATACGTCACAATATTATTGAGTATTTAAGCAAGTGATTGAGTATGACAGCAAGTTTACTTCAGTATGTACTAATTTAATGTAATACAAATAACTGAATCGTTATTTAAATAATAAACATTTAGGTTTAAATGAAAAGTTATTAGATTTAAATGATAAACATTTAGATGTCAAAACTGTAAAAAATCTGCCGAAAATCATACTACTAAATTTCCCAAAATAGGTTACTTGGGAGGAAACGCTTATCAGCTTTTTTTATACGAATTTGTGCGAGAGATGCTTAATTTTCGATCCTCGAGATAATTGAGGTATCTCTGAGGCTCACAGGAACATACAAATGTCAGTCATGCATCTGTGACAGAAATGTAGAGGTTTATACGTGATTTAATCGACATAGGATTTTATGATGCACAAGATATACATTATATAACGTTTCATTAACATATACTTAACGGCTTGTTTTTTTTTTCGATAGGAATATTCTTTGCACGAATCGCAGGACAGAGACAAGAATTATTGGAAGAATATATCTTGCCTTGAACGATCTTGTTCGTGTCTGTAGCTGTCAAGCTAGACGTAATAAAGAATATCGTGAAAATTTGTACAGATATATCGACCGTCGGCCACAATACTCGATAAAATAACGTCGATTTGCTCGAATGTGGCCTCTTGGACTTGTTTTCAGAACGCGACTGAAATCTTTAGGCGAAGTATACATCGAAACACGAGCTCACGAGCATCGATTTCCGGGAAAGCTCTGCGTTCATTGGATACCAATGAACGTCTCTCTGTTTTGTCGTTTATTCCTTTTCATTGCGTTTCTTTATGCGGCTTTTTTGCGCTGGAAATAAAACTACTGATATATGAGTGTTGTAGAGAAAAAAAAAAGATTGAATAAAAGATTAACTTAAGAAACGAGAAGTCTAGCTTTTTCCTGTAGCCTAAAATATAATTTTCTATAAATAATATATCAGTGATTTTCTTAGCAATTTATTGGCGATTGATTGCAAGGCCAATAGTACATGTGTCCGTTTTTTGTCGCACGACAAATTTTTCAAGCCTGTCGATTGGCTATAGGACAAAGAAGTGCGAGATCCTCTCTGTCTTACAGCCAATTGACACGCTTGAAAAATTAGTCGTACGAAAAAACGAATGTAATATTGTCCGACAAAAAACTCATGTAATATTGCCCAAACGTGGATATATTGGACTAATATATTTAGCCAATATCCCTATAAGCGCATAATATTATTTAATATTTTAAGCATATTCTTAGAATATTAATTGTACATTTAATATTCTAAGAATATGCTTAAAATATTAAATAATATTATGCGCTTATAGGGATTGTGCCAATAACTGTTAGAGTTCGTTTGAACTATTTACTATTTAAATGAATATTTAGATTTCTCTCCCATTAAGGATAACTTCGATGATTAAACTTTGATTTAATTTAATCGGAATTGTTTAAGACAAAATCTTGAGATATCTATATATATATGTATATGTATATACAATAGTCTCAGATAGTGCACAGAGTTCAAATAAGAATTCTGCAGTCGTATATCATCAATTCTGAGTTTATTTTCAGATGCAAAAAGAATTCTTTTTCTGAAAAGTTCTGGAAAGAATTCTTTTTACATCTGAAAATAAACTCAGAATTGATGACGTACCACTGAATTCCTTTTCAATTCTTTTTGAACTCTCTGAATGTTATCTGGGGTTTGAGTTTTTAATTTTTTTTTATATTAAACATTAATAATTTAATAGTTTTAGTCGTGTTATTTAATATAATAATATTGATTAAAAGTAGATTAAGTAATTGAGGTTTGGTCAAAGTCACCCTAATTTAATCAGTGATTAATATTAATAGAATTAAAACAAAATTTCTAGCTACAAAAGTAACCACAAGTAATCTTTGTCATAACATGATAGGTTTCTAATTCAATTTCTTTTTCATATGATAAACAATAATTTAAGAAATTAATATTTCTATTCACGTTAACCAAATAAAACAAGTGCACTTGTTAAGATAATCAGGCTGATTAAATTAATCGTAGTTTGATCTTGTTTGGTCATATAGGTCCACTTGACGCTATAAACGCTCCGAAGCGTTTGAGCGACTAATCAGAACAAAGAATTTTACGAATTGACTAATCAAAGAATGCTTAGACCTTAGCCATAATTAGTCAATCTCTAAAGAAAAAATGAGGAATGTCGAGAAAGAAAGAAAGAAAAGAGAGAAAGAAAAAAGAGAGAGAGAGAGAGAGAAAGCGCGTTTGTCATTGGTGGAGTCTGGACAAATCAAGCGACGCATTGCGTTTGCGTCTCGATTATTCTAGGAATTGGGGATTCTCGAGAATTCGTCGTCGAGGGAATTTCGATGATAGTATAAGGGGTGCAGGGGGAGGTTTTCTCCGATTGTCCGATGTGATAGTCACGATAGTTTTTGTCATGACTTTTCGTCCTCACGAATGATGCTTGGCGGGTTATGTTCTCGTTAACTGTCGAGAATCAACGCGTAGCAGTTCCGCGTGTGATGGCAGCGTTGCGTTGCGCAGAAGTGACAGCTGACTAATGTGATGGTCTGAGAACTCGCGTCCTCGCGTCCTTGCCGTCCTTGGTTCCTACGTACATCTGTACTCATTTTGCACTTGCGAGACCTACATAACGCACGTAGACGCGCTGGATCGAGCAAACGGTCAGTCGCAAGCTAAAAAGACGATTCCTTTCCCGCTCAGTGGTATTATTTTCCCTAAAAAGTGTGCGTTATTGTTCGTTTATCAAAGTACATTGTCTCGTCCGAGGCAAGTCTAGATATATAATATCTGGAAATCGATATCGCTCTTGCTCGAATTTGTCCCGCGGAGGACAGATATTTTGCTTAATTAACGTATGTATTGCGCACATGAACGGTATAATCGGTGTGATTGGCTTGTTAATTAAAGTGAATTATTCCGTGCATGACTAATTTGCTTTATTGTTTGCCAAGTTGCACAGATGTTACATATTCTCATTTCATTTTCAAAATTTTAATTAAAATCGTTCTCTAATAATTTTTTGAGTGAATTTAAAAAGGTTCCTACTTTATATACATTTGCGTAATTTCTAAAAATGTTAGGAATTTTTTATTTGTCATTTGCATATTAATGGAACGTCTGGTCGGAACAACACCTGAAATAAATGATTTGCATTTCAATTTAGTTTTCTAGAAGGCTGCACTGAAGCAGTGTGTATCTAGCGATCATGGAACAAGTGATCGCGTTGAGTACGCAAAATCCATTGTCATTACTGGTTAAATTTGGTATGATGGCTTGGAACAACAGCTGTGGAAACGATAACTGTTCTGGCCACGGGGAATGCCATAACGGGACCTGTCTATGCGAGGTATTACTACTATTGGTTATCATTAAATTGTTTTGAGATAATAACATTTTAATTATTTCGTTTCAGATTCAGTTTGACGGACCGGAATGCCATTTCCCAAATCTAAGTTACTACATCGCATTTGCATCGATTTTTTTCTTGCTGGCTTTTGTCTGTTTGATACAACTTGTCATGTGCATCGTTGCTGAGTGGCAAAAAATGAAGGCACCGTCATTTCTGAGAGCATGCAGGGTCACTACTCAAAAAGTGTTATACTTTGTAGTTTTTCTTGCATCAATCATACGAGGAGCATACTTTACCTCACCCGTATGTAAACAAATATTTTGTTTGAAAATGTTTCTCGTCTATTATTTTAATTACACACTCTCAATTTTTTATAGACTTCTTTTAAGGAAGGTTGGTCCAGGAGTTTGCTGTCAGCGTATTATCCGTTGCTCTTGAGTGGATCATCATTGATTGTTTGTTTCTGGGCTGAAGTGTTTCATCTAAGAGATATTCGTTGGGACAAACCCCAATTTTTATCAAAATCTTTTCTGGCCTTTGTTGTGTTCAACATATTAATATATTCCCTCTTATTTGCGGAATTCATCACGGCTCAGACTTATTCACAAATAGATCGAGTATGTAGAATGAAAAATATAAATGTAACAGTAATATAATAGTAATTTGTATGTATTAATATTATTCTACTAATTTGTGTGTGTATTTACATAAAAAAAATTAATAAAATTCTTACTTTTTTCCTAGAGCTTTCATACACATGTATTCAATGGCTGTTATGCAGTGCTTTTGTTCATTGTAGTGGTCTTCTTCTTGATATATGGAGTGGAAGTATTTTTCAAAGTATGCTACTTTTAAATTACAGTATTTTTTTTTTTATTATAACACATTTGCATTGTAGAGTTATCTTATGATTTTTTTATCATTAGGTTCGTGGTGGATTCTTGAATGAATGTCAAGTTGCTTCTATCGCAACAAATAAACGTGTAGCTGATACAACAAAGGTCCATACCGAGGATCAAGTAACAGCAAAGTTGTTTGATCCAGGTCCATCTACATCCACAACAGAGTCTGTGCATATGCAACAAGTGAATACGTCTCAATTGCATCAGTCAAGATTTGGATTACTCTCTCAAGCATTCATGTTGTTTATAGTAGTTGGTTTTCTGTTCAGTGAAACTCTTAGTGAATTTTGGAAAACAAAGTAAGGAAATAAAGGAACCAATATAAGTTACATAGTGAATTACAATAAAAAATTTTTGAATTTGTTCTAAATATTCTTATTCTAGGGTACCATTGTACAGCATGAATTGGCATGATATTGTATTTCGTGTTATTGAAGTTGGTGTAATACTCTGGTTCCCTTGTGTTTTATGGAATTGTATGAGGTATGTTTCATGTATTTTACATGAAAACACATGTATCTTATAAAATTCATTTTATAATATACTCTTTTACAATTTATTTCCGTTTCAGTCCAGAGCAATTGTGGATTTTAAATCCAAAGCGCATATTGAAGAAACTAGATTTGGACCAAGGGAAACATATAAAAGAAATCGAGTTACAAGAAAAAGGCGCGTCTCAAGATACCGCGTTTCTTTCTGCAGATACAGCATCAATTAATAGCAAAGATTGTTGGATTTGTTATGATAATGAGAGACAGGATGCTGGTCCATTGATACAACCATGCCAATGTAGAGGTGATGTAAGCGCTGTACATCACGATTGTTTGCGTCGTTGGCTCCTTGAGGTAAAACAGTTATAATTTCTTATATACTGTTTGCTTTCAATACGAACCTTGTCAATTATGATTCTTTCTTTTTTCAGAGCTCTGTAAATGCTGACAGTCTTGCTTGTAAAGTTTGCAATACGAAATATAATGTTGAACATGCCAGTCGGTTGGACTGGCAAAACAGTTTGACCCCACGCCATTGTCTGCAAACTATTGCTATTGTTACTACGATGTGTGCATCTTCTGCTGCTGCCTGGATAGTTATTCAACTTGTAGAAGGACCCATCATCAGAATGCTTGCAGCCGGAACTGCACTTTTAATTATATACGTCTGTATAAGGTGAGTAAATGTCGATTTTTGTGAAAGTCAAATATCAATACGTTCAATCTATACAGTTGAAATTGTTTGTTCTAGATTCTTGAGCTTGAATACCGTCGTAGCGTATCAACGAGCCAAAATCTCATCGTTAAATATTGTTAACAGTGGTAGCGAGAGTAATGGGACTGCGCAAGTAACTACAATTAGTCATACGATTTCTGTGGACGTAACGAAATCGGACATGGCTATGATATAATCTATACTTGCCATCAATCATTGTATAATGCTGAGTTCACACTGAGCGCTATGCTATGTACGCTACATACGGTATGTATATTATGTATGCTATGCTCGCTACACTGAATGGCCATACCGAAAATTATGTTTTGGATGAACATTTTTATTAATGATAAATGTTTAGTCAGAAAAATTGAAATTCAATGAACAAAGACCAAAATCGAGCTTATAAAAGATAGTAAGTACATTCTAATAAATTTGGAAGTTATCTATATAATAATCGGTACAAGTTTTAACTTTACTCTTCAGTCTTCAGCCGCATTAAAACAATATAAAATTATCAATTTTTTGAGAATTACATCAAAAGTTACAAGAAATCTATGATTAATCGATGTTGATAATCAATGTATCTTACTATTTAATTATCCAATCTGAATTCTTACTATTTCTATAACATTATTCATGCTTGAATAGTCATTAGGTATCAAAATAGACTCAACCCCTGATTTAAATCAAATTCTTATTAATTGTCATTTAAATAAAACTTTTATTAATAAGTCGACCTAGTTTATCTCTTGGTCAACATTTAGAAATCTATGATATAAATCGTACATTTATATCTATATCTGTGGTATAAATCATATATTTATACCTATTTCTATTGAATCTAGATTTAATTAATTTAAAAAACTGATTAATTTACTATTCCTAATACACTAATTTTAAAAACAAACAAAATGTATATATTCAAACAATAAAAAGGTTAAAAAGAGGCCTGTAAACTAGTAAATTAAGATGTATATTTACTGATAATCTTTAATATTAAAATACAAAAAAGATATACAGATTAAAAAAGGTTACAAAAACATACATCTTCATTAATTTGTTATGTTTAACGATTTTTCACGAATATATAACCAATAAGATTATCGGTCATATTTTGTTCTCACATCTCGAAGCGCTAACATAAAGGAAGTTCACAAAAGAATCGGATATTTAGACATACTAAGGCTTAGGGGCCGTCCATATATTACGTAAGCATAATTGGGAGAGGGGGTGGTCAGACATTCTTAGGAATGCTTACATGAGGAGGGGGGAGGATCGTACATATCCTTACGTAAGATTTTTGTCTACTGCTGATGAAAAACGAGTATTATTTGCAAAAAAACTTTCCAAATCTGCAGCAAATTAGCTTTTGTTTTGCATAGCATGGAAAGATCTTACGTAATTATGGAGAGAGGGGGTTAAAAATGGCCAAAAATTTGCTTACGTAATATATGGACGGCTCCTAAGCCTTTTATTTCGATTTTAACTTCTCCAAAAATTAACTCTAATCAACTTCTTTCTCATGTCGATGTAACTTTATTTATATTGGGTTTCCATATGCACCTGATCTCTTGACTGTGCAACCTATTCTGTATTTTAAAATTTGACTCGGTCCATATTTACATGGCAACAATTCATGGACTTTCATTTACACTCTGGCTTACCTAACGAACGGAGGAAATTATCGTCTATAAAATTGCGATATGCCTCGTGTGATTTGTGTTCAGTATCACTTAATGTTATTTTGAGATTCGCGTTTATATGGATTAACTTTTTATGGCTGAAGATCGCTAAGTAAGCCGAAAGTCCCATCTTTTTTTGTATTTGAATATTAAAAGGTTTAATAAATATACATCTTAATTTGTTCGTTTACAAGCCTTTTTTCACCTTTTTATTATAATTTTATTCATATTAGATAATTAATAATTTTTTAAGTCAATAATTTTATTAGTTATTCAATGAATAAAATTAGTTAGAATTGGAATAGTAAATTAATCAGTTTCAAATAAAATAGTTTACTCCAATTTTTAATGAAAGAATTAGTTCTATTTAAAACATTAAATTGTCAACTGTAATTTAGTCATATTAATTAATACCGAGCACATATAAATTGTTAAATCAATAAGATTCTAATAATAATTACACATGAAAAACAATGAAAAAATAATTACTACTATCAATTAAATTGACGATTAAATTATCAATTTAAAATTATTATTATATTCTTTTATTCCACAAATAATTAATATCAAATAATATTAGGATCAAAGATTGCCATCTTCTCTTTTGTAGCTAACAGATTTTATATATAGACAGAGGGAAGATAATGCATTAGATAACGATATAAAACCTGTTAGCTACCTTTTAGAGGAGATAGCAACCTTTGATCCTAATATTATTTGATTATTAATTATAGATTTCTTATAACTTTTGATGTAATTTAAAAATAGCAATTTTATATTCTAAGATGACTGTTGAAGAAATTTCATATTGATTGTTGATTTTTAATATGGGACTTGACAAGATTCTCGACATCAACCGAGAGTTTGATTATCGAGATTTTATATACGACGAACTTTGCAATAAGATTTATTCTCAATCCTACTGCTCATGCCTGTTCACGATTGAAAGAAAAAGCGTAATTGGACGTGATGTCGGCTCGCGGTGTCCTTTCACTGTCTCACACATTTGTTATTAGCGCGAGTGAGATCTCCCGGTGTCTCCCGCTCGCCAATATTCATAATATTTTTATTATGCATAAAATGATGTAATTATGCATAAAAATTCTTAATAATATAAAAAATTTTTGTGCATAATTACGTGTAATTTTGAGACTCATTGTAATAGCTTTGCATGCATTTATAAATTTGTAGTATGTTTCGCGCGCCGAACGCCGAGGGACACCATTCCTGCCGGTGCGTGTACATGGTAATGTTTTCAAAAAAAAAGATCGAGAATCAAACACTTATAACGTCGCGAACATAGCGAACATAGCGTATGTATGTATAATCGTGTACTAAAAGATTGCTACATTTTTTTTCGATGGCTTTCGGAATGCAGCCTGTTTATCGACCGATTGGTTCTTACTTACGAATCTAACCATTTACGTTCAACCGCTCTACAAGTAAGGGTGAGTTCGAAAAAAAAGTGTTGCAATCTTTTAGTAAACGACTGTACATATCGTACGCAACTCGATGTGGCCAGTCACATTAACAGGGTGGGTACTCATATCTTATAAAAGCATTCCCTGAGAATTCCAGGTTTTTCCATGAATTTTATTCAAAATTCCAGATAAGATTAGAGACATTGTACATTAGAGACATTCTAAAACAAATAGTTCAAAAATTATATATATATGTATAAACTATACATATATAAACATAACTTGTTTCCAATATGATAAAAAATATCATTCTTATATTTAAAATGAACAAAAGATATATAAATAATATTATAAGTAAATAACATTTATAGACAACACAAAATACTGAAATCCATTTTTTTAAAGCTTGAATTTGTTCGTTAAGTGTATCTACTTCCTTCCCTTGTAGAAAAATACTACTGAACACTACTAGTGTGCGTTAGTATTTTGAGGCACTACTGCTGTAGTGTAGTAGTACAGTAGTACTTTTTTTACAAGAGTATATCCGCGTTTCGGCAAGATACAAAATGCAGGAAACGAGTATGCGTCACAGAAATTAATTATTAATAACACTATTTTAAAAAAAGCCACTTTCAGAGGCTCAATGAACACACTTTGATTGAGCAGATCGAACTAAGAGTAAGTTACGACTCTAAAAATGAGCGTCGTACCTCCTTTAGTACTAGGAAAAGCTACTTTTAGTTTCGTACAAGTTGACCAACTTCACTGATTCACCGGTGAGACTTAAGACTATCGACTAATTATAGAATCAGCATATACGAGGTCTACAATAGAAATCTAGTGGTCCTAAAATTTCAAATCGTAAGAAATTGACGAATTATAGTTGATTATTCTCTTCACATTCGACTGCGATTGATCCATTTCTTACGATTTCAGACTTTACGACCACTATGACTCCTATTGTGAACCACGTCCCTTATCCCTTCACATGCTGTTAGCATACTACAAATGGCTGATCGGCTGCTATCTGGCATTAGGATCTAGTCAAACTTGCATTATTTATCAAAAAATGGTCAGAGAAATGATTTTGTCAAACAAAATAGAATTTAAATTTAAAAATAGGATTCGAAAAATTTCCCTGACAATTTAAATAAAATTCCATGAGAATTTCAGGATTTTCAAGTGTAAAAAAAATTCCCGAAGAATTCCAGGTTTTCCAGGTTTTTCCCGGTAGAGGACATCCTGAATAGGCCGACGTTTATATTTATCGCACCACAGAATCGCTCATCTGTCTGAGCCCTAATAGTTAATCATTGACTATTAGGGCTCAGACAGACGAGCGATTCTGTAGCGCGATAAATATAAGCGTTGGCCTATTCACACACATGCTTCATACTTGTGTGTGAATGGGTCGATGCTTGTTTATCGCGCCACAAAGTCGCTTGTCTGTCTGAGCCCTTAGGACTGTGTTCCAAAGGGCTCAGTACCAAACCGTCAGTACCAAAAATTTATAGTTTACATTACCTGCACTAAGATTTTCAGTATTGGCAGTAAATCTTGGAACACAGCCAAAGAAAGCTATTTTTTGAAAATGTAGCAAACATAGCGTACGTAACGCTCGGTGTGGCTTCATAAAACTCGTTCACACGATATTGGTCGTTTGCCGAATTAATTTTTTTTGCCATGCTGTACAATGGCAATACATTTCATATATGTTTACATGATAAATGGCTCGACCGTACGTGGGAAAATTATCGAATCGGTCGAAAATGATATTCAGTTTTGTCACTGCAAACCGTATATGTGATCCGGTAAAAACAACCAAATTGGTCGTCAGTGACATATATACGACGTACGGCAAGAATACCGTACTTATGTCTGAATGTGGAATCAGACTCGGACTGATTTGCACCGATTCGGTGAAATTATCGATATGGTCAAAAACTGTATCGTTGTAAACGAGTTTTAACGAACACAAGTATCTTTTTATTTAAAGTAGAAAGACTTAAGATAGAATAGAAAAAATAGAATAACGCGGATATGTACGTTTTTCAAGCGTATGTAACAATAATGTACAAAACAATGATGATGGAAATACAGTATGTTTCCACTCTCAAGGAAAGGCTCAGAAGTAGTTCTCACCGATTTCATTGAAACTTGACAGAATTTCATAGTGTATTTCCCTGAATATAATTATATCCCTATTTTTGGGTGTAGATGGTTACCATTTCTGAAATATTTCAATATTAAATTTAATTCATTAGAGTTTATACTCAAATTCAGGGTACTAAA